GGGGGGAGCGGGTGGCTGACTCGACCCATGCCAGGTGCGAGGTCTGCTGGCTGGGTGCTGGCAGGCTTGCACCTGGCACCTGGCACCGTAGCCAGCCCGTGCCCCTTTAAGGGCTCCGGGGCCGGGAGGGGGGCAGACGAGTTTCCCTGGTGGTGCCCAGAGTGGCCACCAGGGAAAGCCGGGGAGGGCTAGCCTCCCACTAGTTTGAATTAAGTGGCTACACAGCCCTTAATTCGAACTAGCTAATTCGAACTAGGCGTTAGTCCTCGTAAAATGAGGTTTACCTAGTTCGAATTAAGCGCTCCGCTAGTTCGAATTAAGTTCGAACTAGCGGAGCCCTAGTGTAGCGCCTATCAAAGTTAATTCGAACTAACGTCTGTTAGTTCGAATTAACTTTGTAGTGTAGACATACCCCCTGATAGTTAGGAAGTTTTTCCTAATATCCAACCTAAGCCACCCTTGCTGCAGTGTCAGCCCATTGTTTCTTGTCCTGTCATGAGAGACCAAGGAGAACTATTTTTCTTCCTCCTCCTTGTGATGCCCTTTTAGATACTTGAAAACCTCTATCTTGTCCCCTCCCAGTCTTCTCCTTTCCAAACTAAACAAGCCCAATTCTTTCAGTCTTCCTTTACAGTTCATGTTCTCTAGACCTTTAATCACTCTTGTTGCTCTTCTTTGGACCTTCTCCAATTTATCCACATCTTTCTTGAAATGTGGTGCCCAGAATTGGACACAATACTCCAATTGAGGCCTAATTAGTGCAGAGTAAAGCTGAAGAATGACTTCTTGAGTCTTGCTCACAACACCCCTGTTAATAGATCCCAGATTCATGTTTGCTTTTTTGCATCAGTGTCACACTGTTGACTCATATTTAGCTTGTGGTTCACTATGACCCCAAGATCCCTTTCTGCAGTACTCCTTCCTAGACAGTCACTTCTCATTCTGTATGTGTAAGACTGATTGTTCCTTCCTAAGTGGAGTCCCATGCATTTGTCCTTATTAAACTTTATCCTATTGACCTCAGATCATTTCTCAAGTTTGTCCGGATCATTTTGAATTATGACCCTATCCTCCAAAACAGTTGCAACCCCTCCCAGCTTGGTATCATCTGCAAATTTAATAAGCTTGCTCTCCATGCCAATATCTAAATCATTGATGAAGTTATTGAACAGAATCGGTCCCAAAACAGACCCCTCCGGAACCCCACTTTTTATGCCCTTTGAGCAGAATTGTGAACTGTTAATAACTACTGTCTGAGAATGGTTATCCAGCTAGTTATGTACCCACCTTATAGTAGCCCCATCTAAGTTGTATTTGCCTAGTTTATTGATAAGAATATCATGCGAGACCATATCAGATGACTTACTAAAGTCTAGGTATACCATGTCCACCTCTTCTCTCTTATCCATAAGACTTGTTATCCTATCAAAGAAAGCTATCAGATTGGTTTGACATGATTTGTTCTTTACAAATCCATGCTGGCTGTTCCCTATCACCTTATTATCTTCCAGGTGTTTGCAGATAAATTCCTTAATTACTTGCTCAATTATCTTTCCTGGTACAGAAGTTAAACTAACTGGTCTATAGTTTCCTGGGTTGTTCTTATTTCCCTTTTTAAGGATGGGCACTATATTTGTCCTTTTCCAATCTTCTGGAATCTCTGCAATCTTCTGGACCCCTGATATGGTCTTTGCAGAAAAATTGCAGTTTCATTTGAATAGATTGACAGCCCTGGAGACAAAAGACAGGACTATACAGCACTTCAAAGACTAGCAAGATGGTTTATTAGATGAGCTTTTGTGGGACAGACCCACTTCCTCAGATCAATATGTGGAAGAAAATTGGCACAACCATATATACCAAAGTGATACAATAAAAAAAAAAGTGAACACATATAAAAATGATGAATAAGGTTTTAAGAACAGAGGAGGGGTGAGGAGGGAAGGTTAGTATCTGTGAGGTAATGACATTAGGGGTGATAATTGGGGAAGCTATCTTTGTAATGGGTGAGATAATTAGCATCTTTGTTAAGACCCGTACGCCAAGTGTCAAATTTAAGCATGAATGACAGTTCTGAGGCTTCTCTTTGAAGTCTGGAGTTAAAATCTCTTTGAAGCAATATGCATGTTTTAAGGTCATTGAGAGAATGGTCAGTCTGGTTAAAATGGCAAGAAACAGTTTTCTCTCTGTGAGAGAGCTTGATGTCTGTTTTATATGCATTGATTCTTTGGAGAAGTATCTGAGAAGTTTGTCCAATGTACATAGCAGACGGACACTTTAGGCACATGATGGCATAAATTATATTTCTGGATGAACAGGAATATGTGTTCTTGATCTTGTAACTGGCATGGTTAGGTCCAATAATGGTGTCAGCAGAGTAAATATGTGGACAAAGCTTGCAAGGGAAAGTTCCAGGGTTGGTATTATTGTGGTATGTCCTGTGGTTGTTGGTAAGAATCATTCTGAGGTTAGGTGGTTGTCTATAGAAGACTATGGGTCTGTCTCCCAGAGCCTCTCGGAGGGTAGTATCCTGTTCCAGTATATCCTAATTATCTTCAGGACAAGTGTACAAAGGCATTTGCCTGCCAATGTAACTCAGCCTAGAGTTGGAGAGCCATGGTAAGACATGCTAAATAAAACTCAGAGGGCTCCTCCGTCAGCTCTGGTACTCCGGCTCCTCACCAGGAGTAGGGGAAGCCAATGGGAATGTTTGCTCCCGTCACCCTCCTGCTCTGTGGACAGCAATTTAAGATACGTCGACTCTAGCTATGTAATTAATATAGCTGGAGTTGGGTATCATAAGTTGACTTTCCGCACTAGTGTAGACCCAGCCTTAATCTCCTGTATGGCTACATAAAATGGGCTGCTTTGCCCCTTTATTATTGTTCCGTGCAGATGATGTTGTTTACCTGCCTCTCAGAGGTTGTTGCAAGAATCGATTTGCAAACTCTTGCAAAGTGCCAAAGTAGCTCAATAGCAATTGTGCTGCATGCAAGTGAATAAGTTTGCTTGCACCTCTCTTCGTCTAGTTCTGAAAATCTGTTGTGACAGTATGCGGGTCTTTCTAGCTCATGTGTGTCTTCTCAGCGCTTCCAAGTAAAAGCCAATACATCAGCACAATTACTGCCTGAAAATTCAAGCTGGGAATCAGAGTGTTTGGAATTAATATGATATATACATTTCAATTACAATAAAAATCGCATTCTGAACTTGCTTTATTCATTTGTGTCTTCATAGTGATAAAGTACCGGGTCACTGTTTTCACTGGGACAGTCAGTGGAAGCGGGACAGATGCCAACGTCTTTGTCAACCTCATTGGGGACCAGGGAGATACGGGAGAGCGTATCCTGTACAATAGCATAAACACCATGAATAAATTTGAGAAAGGCAGTGTAAGTTGGCACCATGGCCCTTGAAACCTGTCTGAACATGCTGCTTAGAATGTGTGACGGTTGGCAACTCGCTGAGAGAATGCTGGCTCCTTTGGGAAGCGGGTTTGGGGGAGTTTCATTCCTAGTGTTAAGCGCTGTTGATCTCCCAGGAGCTACATGTTGCTCTGAAACATAGGAGCAGCTGCAGCCTCAAGGAGATTCAGCTGCAAGCTTAGCACCGATGTTTCTTGGGACAATGGGAGTGAGTGAAAATCATGTGCATGGCAGAGGTGCCCTGAAAGCAGAGCAGAGAAAGGGTATAGTGAGGAGGATGGGCCGAGGGAGACGTTCCCTTTGCTTGGCAGCATATGTCTGTGCATTGGCTGGCCACACCAGAAGACAGACAAGAGGCAATGGATGTGATTCATTTGGCTGTAATTTTATTCACTTAGCCCCTCTGGGCATACTTGGTAACAAATTATACAGTGCAGGTCATCATCCTTTCCTTATTCATTTCTATCGGATCGCCACATAGGTCCCAGCTATCCTGCTGCTGGGACCCCACCACCCTCCTCTTATAAGAAGGGTAAGAGAGCTGTAAAAGAAGAGTGCGTCCAGATCCCCATTGTATGAGACATAGGAATCCATGTCCCCTTTATTCAGCACCCTTAGGAACACTTTCCAGCATATCCTTTTCCAGTCCATTTCATCCAGTAACTACTGTATGTCCCTTCCCTCCTGAGATCTGCCCTGGACATCCACCACAACTCTCACATACTAAGTAGTGCTATTATTCCCTAACTCCCTGCTCCATCCGGAATGGTCTCAGACCCTCTGGGGGAATGTGGGGAAAAAAAAACAATCTGCCTTGGCCAGTCTGGCGCTAAGGGGAAAAATTCCTTCTCAGCCCCCCCAAGGAAAAGGGCAATTAGCATAATACCCACAGTAGGTCAAGAGAGAGCCTGGCCCTTTGGTGAGTGAGCCTGATTCAGGTAAAAAAAGGAATTACCTTTCCTGGTAGCATTTGCACCTTATTTCTTCAGTAAAATGTTTCCTCTGAGACTATGTCTAGACTACAGAGATCTTCTGCAAAAATTTCTTGCACAAGAGAGCGTCCACACTGACTGAAAGAACTCTTTCACAAAAAGGAGTTATTCTTCGTAGAATGAGGAATATCTATGCCTGAAAAAGCCCTCTGTTCTTTCGTTTTACTTGTGCAAAAACGCGCTTGAGGTGTGGATGCTCCATGAGCTTTTGAGCAAAAACAGGTGTTTTTGTGCAAAAACTCTGTAGAGTAGACCTAGCCTGAGTGTTCATTCTTTTTCCCACCCCACTTGCATTGCTACACCTAATTTTCATGTATTATTCATACCGTTATTTTCTTGCCAGAATATCCTGTGCTTTCCTGTGAAATGGCCAGGGGTGGAGACTGTGCCCTGAGTATGTGGAAAACATGAAATAACAGAAAGGCTTAATAGTAGCTATGGCCATTGCAAGCAATGCACTTTGGATTTCTGGTTTTCAATTTAAGCTGTTAAAAGTCAGTCATGCATCTCTAAGAAGAATGTGAGCATCTGATCACAGAATCACTCACATTTCCCATTTGTGTGTAGAATGCTTTTAAAGTCATTTTTAATTAAAAATTGTAAGTGTCAAGAAAATGCAAATAAGAATGTGAGATTTTGCAAAACTGCACCTGCAAAATATACATTCACAGATGGGACCTGATTTTATATTTCTAGAGTTTCCAAACTCCCATTGGCATTCTTAGAAGTCATTGAGTTTGGGGGACTATCAGGATGCAGGACTGGGCCCTTACTGCGTCTTCAAAGCCTGTATTTGTGTGCACAGTTTGCATGTGCATGGTGGCTGGCTGCATAGCTGCGCATGAAAACTGCATTTTGCAAGTGTAATATAGGCAGTGAAAATACATTTTGCAAGTGTAATATAGGCAGTGAAAATCAGGCACTATTTATAGACCCAGTTTTGGAAAGAAGGCCCAAAATGTAAAAGGAATTTTATAAATATGAGATGAGTTTTTTTCCAGTTTGTCTACAATGTAACAATTTTTTCATCTGTAAGAAAAGCTACCACTTACCAAATGATAGCAAAGCAAGGCTCATTCTTCTGCTAGTTTGGAAGTCTGTTTCTGGGTTGTTCCAAAATAATCATAATAATCATCATCATTGTAGGGGTAAAATTATTCCCTACAATCATCTTTGTTCATTTCAGACAAACATATTTTAAAAACAGATAATTGCTAGCTTCTGTCTTGTAAAAATGATTCTTATGGCAATTTGCATGAAAGAAATAGTGGATAATAGAAAAAATAAATGTTAGAAATCCTGCTTGTGCTGTAATAGCAGCCAGACTAACCTGAGATGCATTGATTGAATAATTGCTCTTTTGGTGGGGTGAGCTAGTGAGTGAAAGCTACACAGGGCTTAACTTTGACCAGCAGAACTTGTTCATTTTAAAAACGCACTAAATCAATTTAAATCAACTAATCAATCAATTACAAATAAAAATTAATAAAAAACAAACAAAATAAAAAACTGGAAACCTCTAATCTACATGCATTTAAACCGGTTCAATCCCTCACTTGTATTAGTTTAGCTCAAGTGGGTAGTTTACTGCTAAACTGATTCAATCCAGGGTTAAACCAGTTTAGTTTATATACGGGGCAATTTCATTGGCTTATTTTCCACCAGAGTATGTTAAGTGCTCATTTATTTACACCAATGTATGGTTAGTGAGCTCAGAATCAGGCCCAGTACAGCCAACTTTGTTAAGTTAGGTTGACTCTGCTAGGTTTTGATCAGAGAATAGATACTTATCGGTTCTGATTCTACAACCCTTTATTATGTAAATAATTTTTGCTGATACAAGCTCATCCATTATTTTTCACATCTAAAAGTTCAGGAGTATGGTTTTGCTGCCCTTTTTGAAAGAACAGTTTTGCTGAAGACTTTAAAAACATATTTTTAAAGTAATAGCTGATATTTCTATAATAATCTTGTTTAGTTGGAAACATTTGTCACCCTCGCTCTAGACATTCAGGCTACGTCTACACTATTTTTTTTCTGGGCAAAAAATATGCTAACGAGGGACTCATTTGCATGAGTCGCGATCTCATTTGCATAGTTTCTGCCAATCCGTTTTTGCGCTAGGGGTTTTTGTGCAAAAACAAGCAGTGTGAACATTTTCTTTTTGTGCAAAAAACCCTTTTTCCGCAAGATCCTTTGTGGATGTTTTCTTTTTGCGCAAAACCCCCTTTTTCTGCAAGATCCTTAAGGACCTTGCAGGAAAAGTGGGTTTGTGCAAAAAGAGAACGTCCACACTGCTTGTTTTTGCGCAAAAACGGATGGGCAGAAAAATGCAAATGAGATTGCAACTCATGCAAATTAGTCTCTCATTAGCATATTTTTTGCCGAGAAAACTCATAGTGTAGACATAGCCTCAGGAAAACATGCCACCAGCAACAGCATTTTGGGGCTTTCTGTAGACAGAGGAGACAAATGCATCACAGCACTGTTTCCTCCAATTTTCTGCTGCTTAACAAGGAATACTTGTAATTGCATGGTAAACTACAGTGGTCCTTTCTGTGTATGAGTCTGTTAAAGTATTTATATGGCTGTTCCTGAAGTGTCTGTACAATACCTCCCAAACTTTAAATATGTTTATCTTCATAGTGCCCCTCTTGGGTCAGGAAGTATCATCTGAGTTTATAGTTGGAGAACTGAGGCACAGAGAGACTTACCTTAGCTCCCCCAGGAAGTCTGAGCAGAGCAGAGATCAAATATGGGTTTCCCCAGGTCCTTTCTACTAGGATGAGGTATGAGACCATGAGTGGGAGTAAGCACCCAAAATCTCTAGCCGCCTATGAGTCTAGCCCAGATGTTCAAGTTAATTCTTTGTTAAATTAACTTGAACTTAATCCATTCAGCAGCTTCTGAGGGACCTTCTACACCTTGCTGTTCTGGGGTTGGTTGATTGCAGTAATCCATGCTTATGTTTAATGTTGTTTCTTACGAGTGATGTTGCCTAATCTTGTTTCTTTCTCTCCCTGCAAAAGGCCGATGAGTTCTACATTGAAGCAGTGACTCTGAAGCAGGTGAGGAGGGTGAGGATAGGGCATGATGGCAAAGGAGGAAGCAGTGGCTGGTACCTTGACAAAGTGATAGTGAGGGAAGAAGGGCAGCCAGAAAGCCAGGCTGTGGAATTCCCATGCTACAGGTACCGGAAATGATGCTCTCAAATGATTGACTGATTTGTCCCACTTTCAAGAATCTAATTACTGTTCCAGGCCTGGAATATTCTGAAGTCATCTAAATCCTACTGAGAATCTCTTTGCTTGGTCTGAAGGCAAAATGTGGGAGTGGGAGACTAAGTAGAATATTGCCCTCTCCTAATAAATAGGCAATCCGAAGAAGATGATGATTAACCCAGGGTGGTGAGGATTTCCCAGCGACAAAATTCAACCTTGCAATGATGAATACCATGTTAATGCAACCTCCTGCAGTAGGAACACTTGTTGCTACAGCAGTCTTCTAGTTTGGTTGCAGATGTGGGGCCTTCCTCAGTCCCCACATGCCTGTCCCATGATCCAGAGAGCTGTCGCATGCTAGTCTCTTGTTGGGAGCATGCAAAATTGATAAGATGCTGTCCTGAAAACTCGCCACTTGAACAGCAGTGCCCATTGCACAAAGACAGGTGGGAATCATAGAGAAAAGGGCCATAACTCTGCCACCCAGGCAAGTTACAAATGTATTCTTCTCTTTCCTCAAGATAATAAGTGGCCAAAAAGAAAGTGCTGTAGCTGAAGCTTCCATTGGAGCTCATTTTCACATCAGACATACACGTGCTAACTAGTATCTGCCTCAATGTGGAGAGTGCAAATAATCAATGGCAAGGTCAAAACACAGCAGAACACAGCTTTAACAGAGAGTCCTGGGTCCTTCAAATCCTACATTTCTTTGCAGAGGGTTTTATGCCTTGCAGGGTGAATCCCACTGAATATCAATGAATTCCAGTATTTTTTTAAATAAGGTGCATTCTTCCCACAGGACTGGTAGTATTTTATATACTGATATGATTATTCTCAGATTGCCAACAACTGTAAAGTCACCAGATCCAGTTCTGATCTCATGTCAGTATAATCAGCAATTACTTCCCTGAAGTCAGCGTAAAACAATGTGAGCTTAGAATTAGACTCACTAAATTACTAAAGACACATCACATAACATAGAGCAGAGCGAACTTGCCAGTGTCGTAGAATTTGACATGAAATGCAATATCATGTTCACTGTGAAAAAATAGAACCCCATTTTCCATAAAAAATCCATCATGTTATGATGTTGCCATTTTTAGTACCCATTTGGTAAGTCAATGCACAGTATGGTAACCAGACAGACATTGACTTAGACATGAAATGTCCCCACTGAAAACTCAGTATCTTCAGAGATCCTTACAAGTCATAGGCTACTTCTAAGTCACATTAATGGCTACTTCTGAATAACCTCTTGATTGGAGCCATTTAATTAATGGCTTTCATCCACCTTGAGGGTGAAGATCCTTTTAAGCACTAAAGCACTTGTCACATCATCCAGTTGTGGAAAAAAATATTTCATTAACCATAAAAATAGCTACCATAAACAAGAGGTTGGAAATGAAGACCTAATTCTAGAACAGGGGCCAGCAACCTTTCTGAAGTTGCGTGCCAAGATTTAACCCTCCTAACCGGGGTTCTGCCGCTCTCCCAGGAGGGGGAAGGGGCTTTCTCCACTGCACGGCCCACTTAGTCTCCTGCCCTGGGCTCTGACCCGGCTTTTCCTCTGATGCTTTCACAGTTTCACTTTTTTTTATATTAAGTGATTAATATTAAACATAAAATACATAAAAATAAAAAGAGAAACCCAAATCCCTTTGTCAATAATAAAGCAACTAAAACAATAAACATTATCATTAAAATAAAATTTTAAAAATAATTATAGATATTCCTATGAAATACAAAAAATAATACTTCTTAAAATCTTTTAAAAGCTCAAAAAAGGTGGTTTAAAACAAAAACCAACCTAGCCCCCCCCCATGCAAATCAATATAAAACAATAATGACTAACTATTAAACTCCTCTTCAAAACAGGGATGTGAATGGATAACATCACCCTTACTGGATGATACTTACTACTTACCGTTAGTGGATTTCTCTAGCTCTGTGGGGCCTGACGCACCACAGGCAGGGAAGCTCCAGCCAGGCAGGATCAGCCCCCACCCTGGCCGGGGCTGCCACCACCCGACAAGTGGGCCCCAGCTCTGGCCCACTTAGGGCACATGTGCTGTAAGTTGCTGACCCCTGTTCTAGAATATCCAGCTTGTACATTCAGGGCTTGTCTTCACTTACTCCATAATCAACACTCTGGAGATGAATCTTCTGGAGTATGATTTAACAGGTCTAGTAAGGACCCACTAAATCAACTGCTGATGGCATCCCCATCGACCCCGGTACTTCATGGGGTCACGAAGAGTAAGGAAAGTTGATGGGAGAGTTTCTCCTGTTGACCTCCCAAAATGGGAACGCAGCAGAAATTTGGCTTAAGGTACGTCAATTCCAGCTATGCTATTCTCATAGATAGTGTTGCATATCTTAAGTGAACTTTCTTGGATAGTGTAGGTCTGGCCTTAGCCTTCACGTCATGAATCACTGGATTCTACTCTTCTGGAGTTTTCCATGACCTGTTGTCCAAGTGAGACCGTTGTCGCCCACATGGCCTGTTTTCCTGTCCTTGTGCCACCATTATCTGTTCCTCTCCGATGGAAATGGTCACATGACCAACAGAATGGGAGTAAGCGGAGACTGTTCCTACCACTGTCTCTCGTGCCTGTGACTTTGGCGGGCTAATGAGAAAGTGGAGCCAAATGATAGTCTGAAGTTGTTGTGGAGGCCGGAAGTATCTGAAGGCTAAGGTGCTCATCCACTGCATCCTCCGTAAGAAGGAATGAACTCGTCCATGACCCGCAGTGTTTGGATGCTTCCACTCCTGCTGGCCAGGGATACCTCCAGCTCCCTTGCTGCTCTGGAGATGATTCACGGAGGCCTGCTCCTCCAGGGTACAGATAGTTCTACAAACTTGGCTAGGAGGAGCAGCCCTTCCTTAGAGAACCATGGCAAGCAAGTGGGAGTGAGAAGTTAGAAACTGCCATTCAGAAAGGGCAGGGGAAGCATCTGTCTCAATCAGTTTGTTGTCAGCCGGTGGATATGTTGTTGTACTTATCACCCTTCTCTTTTGTGCCTCCATCACCTTCTGTTGTCACATGCAGCCCATTGACAAACTCCAGAGGAAGTCATTTGCTTTCTGCATGACCTGTTACCTAGGACTGCTCCAGGAACATGCTCTGAGCTCAGCCACTTCTGCTGTGCTCCACCGCAGCCAGACCACAAAATACCTTTTCCCAACAGGAATCGATCAGACTGGTTCAGAAAATGCCAAACCTTATCCCACAGATCTGGATGTCCTGAGATATAGGAAATAATTCTGTTGTAGGAGGCCGGTTCTCATGATGTCTGAAGCCATGTGGATTTCCCTCCCATATAACTCACTGAAGTCTGTTTTGTTCTTCTCATTTACATGTGCAAGCATGTGGCTACGTTTTTTTTTAATTAAAAGCTTTTAACAATAATCATTTGTGTAGCACTGTAGAAACTTCCGCTAATTAAATCACAACAATCCTACGAGGATTATTAGCAAATTGAGGTACAGAGAAGCTAAATGGATTAACAGTGCATTTGCAGCAGAGCCGGGAATAGACTCCTGGAGCAATGTCTCCCAGTCCTGTGCTTTAAACTACTAAAATAGTTGCTGTTGTTATTCTCAGAATCAGTGTATTAAAATGCCCCTTTAAAGTACATTTCCAAGAAGTATGCTCTGAGCAAGCTCAAAAGCTTGTCTCTCACACCAAAAGAAATTGGTCTAATGAAAGATATTACCTCACCCATTTTGTCTCTACAGAGTGCTAGCACGCGATTCAGATGCTTTGAACTCTTTTACAACTTTCTGACATTAGAATAATTCAGTTTTTTTCAACGTAAATCACTGAGCCATTTGGTGCAATGACTGAAGCCATCTGTATATTGTAAGTGCTTTGCAGTTTGGGTGCTATAAAACATAAATAGCTCTAACAATAAAAGGGATTGGTGAAAAGATTGACTCAAATAAGAGCCACTTTTCCCATTCTTAGGACTAAAGGTATTTTGAGGATCAAAACTTTGGTTTTTTACTTTCACTTTGGGGCTCTGTGCAAGATCAGGAACAGAATGGCTGATATCCACTAAAGCCACATCTTCAGTATGCAGAAGATCAACACTGTCATGGTTGATCTTCCAAGGTTTGAATAAGCGGGTCTAGTGAAGACCCTCTAACTTTAATTCAGAGGACACCCCACCATCGACACCGATACTCCTGCTCCTCACGAAGAGTAAGAGAAGCAGATGGAAGCATTTGCTCCCATTGACCTCCCGCTGTATGGACAGTGCGGAAATATAATTTAAGATATGTTGACTCCAATTATGTGATTAATGTATCTGGAGCTGAGTATCTTAATTCAACCTTCTGCAGTGTGGAGACCAGGCCTTCATAACACCCCATGCAGAAATGAAATAGAAATCAAAGACAGCCCAATCTCACATTAGGCCCAGTCCTCAACTGGTATAGATCATTATACCACCATTGAATTGATTTTATACTAGTTGGGGATATTGCTTGATATTTCTAGCTCATCTTTAGAAACCCACATGTGAATATTTGTGATATTTCTTTTGGATAAGTGTTCAAACCCAACCAAAATCTCTGAACTCCTTGTAGTTTTCACGTTTGTGCCTTTTGTAAATATTTATGTAATACGGGATTATAGAATATCAGTTTAGTCTGATTGAGTGTATGCAGCTCAGAGTAGAACCTGAGTGAGGTATGTGTATATTAGAAACATCTAGACAGATGTATATAAACTAACTAGGGATTATTGTTGATTTTGCATTGCAAACGAAGTGCTTCCACACACACTTTGTACAGCAAGTACTTTGGCTGTTAAGTCAAGTGATTATTTTACATGGTCTGATGTGTTTAGAACATGTCAATCCATTCATGCTTTGTGGATATATATAACCCAGTTGACATCATTCTAAACCTCATTCATTGTACATAGAATTCTTTTGTCCCTCCAAAATTCTTGCATACCTGCTACTGAGCATGGGAGGTACCTTGAGCTTGATGTACGTTTAGAGATACAAGTGCTTTACAGTGTTATATTGTGACTTCAGTGGAACAATGTTAGAATAAAACGTTGCAAGGAAAAGGAGAAACAAAAATGTGCTGCAAATCAAAAATCACTCATCTGTCATTACTCAGAAGTCTTCATCTTTCTCTGCTTGTGTCCTTGCCATGGCCTGCTATTCTCTTGGCCAACACAAAGGCAACGATTGGTTAATAGTACCTTCCTTAAGTCATTTCTCTTGATGATCTACATCCATCTTTCTTTTCACCAGTCTGTAGCAAGCTTTCCACACCCGATTTAAATTCTTTCTTGCTTGTTCATCAGTAGTCCCCAGCAAAGAGTGAAGCTCTTCTCCAAAAAAGTTTCCCGTCATGAATTCCCTTGTGGCGCTCCCTTCTACACCAAAGAAGCAGTTAACATTTGCCCTTCTGTACCCAAAGCTCTGTTTCTCATGGGAGACATTTTGATTCTCTTACCGTACCTCAGGAAGTGCCCTTGTATTCACATCATATTGGGTGATTGTGCCAGCCACAGCAAAGGATACAAAAACAACAACATATACACCAGCAACAGCATGCCACATGACTGATGCTCGATTTGCACAAAAATCAGCTGGTATAAAGTTGGCCATCTCAGGGGCTTCTCTCTTCCTGAAAGGCATTTTGAATCGAGAGGACTGTGGGACAGGCAAAAAATAAGTCCTGTTTTCTGGGGACACCCCCATTTAAGTTCCAGGTATGCAGAGGCATCTTGACTCTTGTGATGACTCAATCCCTAGTTGTTGGATACCTGTCCAAGGATGGGACCCCTGAATCAACATCAAGAACTACACGACACACAGGTACTAAGGATCAGTTCCAACAGGTAAAAAAAAAAGCCAAACCAATGACTAATACAAAAATTTCCTTCCTTAAGACACATGCCTTGACACATTCTTCTTGTGTCCTCCATACATTCCACACTTGGCTCAGTTCTTTACAACAATCTCTCATTCTCCAGCACATCTGGCTGCACTTTTATGTCCCTACAGTCCCTCTCACTCACCACTGAGGGAGAACGTCAAACATGATAACCTCTAAACCTTTCCAATGCACATGGCCACATGTTTTACAGAGTGAAAGGGAAGAATACTGGGTAGTTTACATACCCGACAACCAACAAAAGTTTAGTGCGGGAATGGCATTACATGTGTAATATTTCTGCATGGTGCCGTGCACTTAGTGTTATTGCAAAACCCTGGTGGTTATTTCATGGTCCCCTTAAATATTCTGGGCTACCAAGTATTCCTGGTGCTTTTGCCAGCTCTGTGTTCTTTACTTTATGTTTGATGTCCCTGCATACTGCTGTTTCTTCTGCATAGCACCTGTGCTGATATTATTTCTGTGTGCAGAGGTGGGTGGAGGAAGGAGATTCTCTCTTTCTATTTCAAATGGATGACATTAGAACTTGTCACATTAAAAAAAACTTTCAAAACTCATGGGAAAGGGGGTCGGTAGCTCAGGATTTGATTGTTGGCTCTGGATTGCTTTTAGGTCATCATTTAAATCCAGGTAGTGGTGACTTTAAAGGTGATACAGCTTGAGGACTGTTGGGCTTATGAGAAATGGGAAGATGGCCTCCATCTAAGTGTTAGCTGACATTTGTCCACATACCAAAACCATTGCCTCAGTCAGCTCTAATTGGCTTCCTTGTTGGCTGTCTCAACAGCAAAGCTGAAGGATGGTGGAGACTGAACTCCCCTCTTCCTTTGTGTGATGGGTGAAGATGGAGCATATTAATGGAGAACAGCCTAGGGAAACGTGTTCTGCTTCTGCACTGCACTTGTCCAGTGAATAAAGAAGATTTCAGCCTCCAGGGGCTATCAGTCTGGCATTTCTCAACAGCACTATCTTCTCAAACTCAACAAGGAGTCCTGTGGCACCTTAAAGACTAACAATTTTCTTTGGGCATAAGTTTCCGTGGGCTGGAGCTCACTTCATCAGATGTATGAAGTGGAAACTTCAATTTGACGGAGATCTATCTATCTATCTATCTATCTATCTATCTATCTATCTATCTATCTATCTATCTATCTATCTAATCACCTTAGAGATTAGTGCATCTGTCTGTGAGTCCATCCATCTGTCTCTGTCTTCCAGTCTGTTTGTTCAAGAGCTCCGCCTAAACAGTAAGGGTGTGTCTAGACTACAGGGTTTTTTCGAAAAAGTGGACTTTTTTCGAAAGAACTTTCCCTGCATCTAGACTGCCACCGCATTCTTTCGAAATTAAATCAAAAGAACACAGCAGTTTTTTCAACCACGGTAAACCCCATTTTACTAGGAAGAACGCCTTTTTTCGAAAAAAGGCATTCTTGAATGCAAACAGGGCTTTTTCGAAAGAGAGCATCCAGACTGCCAACCAAATGTGGTGATCCTAGCTCTTAGGCTACGTCTAGACTACAAGCCTCTTTCGAAAGAGGCTTTTTCAAAAAATCTGCTTGTAGTCTAGACGCTTTCTTTTGAAAGAGGCTTTTTTGAAAGATTCTTTTGAAAAAGCTTCTTTCAAAAGAGGCTGGTAGTCTAGATGTAGCCTAAGAGCCAGGACCACCACATTTGGTAGGCAGCTTCCTCTTATCCTAACTTAAAGCAAGTTCAGGATTTGGTTATGCCAGGAAAAAGAGTTGTGCCTGGACTCTGAGCGCGGGGACAGCTATACTGCAGAATGATAAGTGGGGGCAGATGCACCAGGAAGGGAGCAGTCAGCTCGGGACGGGGGTTCACCATGTTGCTTGCCACAAGCCTGGGTAAGCCCCAGGCCTCAGCCGCAGCGCTGGACCAGGAGGTGGGGAAGCCCCCCCTGGCCTCCCTGTTCCAGCCCCCCCCCCCACTCCCGGGGACACCACTGGGACTGGGCAGCAGAGTCCAGGCCCTCCCTGCAGGAGCCACAGCCTCCTCCCCACCCCCAGCACCACCAAGTTGCCCAGCAAGACTGTGCCCAGCCAACCTACATGACTCTCCCCTCCCTCCTGGGCCAAACTCTGGGACCTGTGCACCCTCCTCCCACTGTCCCCTGGGCCCCAGGAATGTCAGCAGGCAGCCTCTGAAGCCCCTGCACCCTCAGGCCAGCCACAGGGAGTCCCAGACAGAGGCCTGCATGGCCTCCCACAACTCCAGGGCCAGACCCAGGCAATGCCAGGTAAGTCTTCTAGTATGTGCATACAAAGATGGGAGTGTCACATTAATATGGAGAGGACCAGGTCTAATGAGGCCAATTCAGTCAGAGTGGATGTGGCCCATTCCCAACAGTTGATGAGAAGCTGAGAATAGCAAAAGGGGAGAAAATAACTTTTTGGATGAGCTACCCATTCCCAGCCAGTCCCAGTCTCTATCAGACCCAGTCTGATCGTGTCAAGTTTTCACATGAATTCCAGCTCTGCAATTTCACACCACAGCACTGTTTTTGAAGTTTTGGGGGGCATGAGAGCTAATGCCCAAATAAAATTTTTAGTCTTTAAGGTGCCACAAGACTCCTTTTTGCTTTTGTTGAAACAGACTAATGTGGCTACCCCACTGACAATGATCAAACTCCTTTCTCTAGCAGGGTTTTTAATCAACCACCTAACACTTTGAAATAATTTGTGCTACCGTCTTCTGATCAGGAAAATGGGAAGCTCTGTCAATACCTCACCTGTATTGAAATGATTATAATATTTCCCCCCCTATTGGCTGTAATATCTTCCTCATTAGGGTTCAGGGAAACAGCTCTTCCTTTTAAGTTTTAAGGATCAGCAACAACTTTTCCTCAATTTTCTCTGCACCCATCTCTACAGAGATGGTGTCCATAGTTCTGTTTCAACCAATGGAGCTCCTTCATGTGTCTTCCTAAGTAGCCTAATGATTTGCTCTTACGTGAATGTTGCAGTGCAAATAAATTCCTCCCTCCCTCCCTCCCTCCCTCCTGTGTTAGCTCTCCAGGGTGAAGTCTGCTGCTTCCACAGCACATCCAGCTCTAGAATGGAGAGGCAAGGTGCCATAATATAATTTAGCTCTTGCCTGGTGCAGAAGTGTCTCCTGGTTACCCTTTGAAAGCATAGGATGAAAACCGGCAGTCATCAGAAGGGAGGCAAATAGTCTGATTTGATATTATTATCAGAATAAAAGACTGTAAGAATTTCCAGATGATGGGCAAGATTTTCAAAAGACCCAGCTTTCCTCTCTGCAGGAATGAATTGTATCTGCTGAATTTGCACCTTTGTTTAAATGCAGCTGCGAGTCACAATAGCTGCACCTCTACTGGTGCTGCAGATAGAAGCTGGGCCTTTTGAAAATATTAGCTCTTACAGAACTTAGACTAATTTGTGACTGACCGCTGCAACATTAGATCACACTCCTGAGGAAAAGGACTCATGTTCTTCACAGATGGATAGCTGCCTAAACATGTCCCTTTATCTGCACAGTATTACTATGTGATATATACTGTATTTGTCTGGACCTTTAAACCCTTGAATGTGGTAAATATTAGGAGATAACTTACTTTTATTTGCAAACCAGGTGGCTTGACAAAAATGAGGATGATGGTCAGATTGTTCGAGAGTTAGTACCAGCTGGGAATTCACCGATACTGAAAAGTGAGTTTGGTCTGGGAGGGAGAAGGCTTTGGATTGGGCAGTCTCTTTATTTTTAAATCAACAGAAAAACAACAATATTTTTACCAATAACGTCTAAAAATGTGCACGGGAGGAGGTCAGGGAACCTCTGATGTTTAAATCCTAATTTATGAATGGGATTCATTCACATACACGAGGATGAGTGCAATGTTTTTGTGTAATGGAAAGAATTTTCTGAAAATGTTAAGACCGGCTTGGTTTTGTGTGAATGCAGACTTGGATCCTTAAACGTTTGCTTCCTCTGCTGGGTGAGTTCCACTGAATAACACAAAATTTCAGCCAATTGCCCCCTCTTCCCCCCACCCCCAAAAAAGAGAGAAAGACAACAAGCTTCCCTTGTTGGGATTATAAGGCACCAGCAGTGTGATTTCCTAAAACATTGCTAAATGAAGAATGAAAACATATCTCTAGTAATTAGTTTGCAACTTCAACAACAAACAACAACAAAGAGGGGCTAAAATGAAGCAATAAGCATAAAGTAGAAAAAACGACTTCCATTTCTAACAGAGTTTAATTTTTCATGTTTTGGTAATAATCTAACTCTATGAGTCCATCATCAGACATTATCAGGCTATTTATAGATCTGTTATATTTTTCACCACAGGTATGTCTAGACTACATCCCTCTGTCGCTAGACAAACCGAAATTGCTAATGAAGCGAGGATTTAAATATGCCACGCTTCATTAGAATAAAAATGGCTGCCGCTTTTTGCCGATGCGGCACTTTGCCAGCAAAAAGCGGCAGTCTAGATGGGGATCGGTTGATAAGGAAAGCCTTTTCTGACCAATCCTGTAAACTTCGTTGTATGAGGCATAAGGGATTGGTCGTAAAAGGCTTTCCTTGTTGACTGATCCCCATCTAGACTGCTGCTTTTTGCCGGCAAAGTGCCGTGTCGGCAAAAAGTGGCGGCCATTTTTATTCTAATGAAGCGTGGCATATTTAAATCCTCGCTTCATTAGCAATTTCGGTTTGTCTAGCGACAGAGGGATTGTATTGCTGGTGAACATATCTCATAGGTTTAAGAGCTCCTTCCAGTCTGCTGCTTTGGGAAAGCCTCCGATGCAAATGTGTCTAAGCCTGTTTCATTCATGCTTGTGCTCTGTTCAAGTGTGCAGCAACCTTCAGTGATCCAGGGTGAGCTTTGGCAGTGCATCATGTGTCTGTATTGTGTACATTAATCTCTCTTTAGATGTCAGCTATCACATCAGTATAAAGACAGGAGATGTTCCTGGAGCCAGCTCAGATTCTAAAGTTTTTATCAAACTATATGGTGAAAAAGGAAACACCAGCAAGGAGCCTCTGTTAGTTTCTGATAATGACCTAGGCAATTACTTTGAACGTGGACGAGTGGATGAGTTTGTTTTAGAGACGCTGGATATTGGAAAGGTAAGACTTAATCACAAGGAAGTCAGTATTTTATGCCAGGGCTTTGTGTGCAGCATGGCACCAAGGGAACTGCTTGCTGAATTGTGAAAGAATCTGACCTTTGGATAAAATATTACAAATCACATTTTCAAATTGGCTGCAGCAAATTGCAACCAGAGATTTTTCAGGGATGTCGGTTTGCACATGCAAGGGAATGTCCCCTCTCTGCCTGCCTAATTGTCCAAATAGCATATGTAATAGCACAAGCTGATTGGTATAGAAATGGTTTGCATGCGCATAGTGAAAGAATGGGGCATACAGTAAAAGTCGATTTTTATTTTATTAAGCTATTGCCTTCCTTGTTCTCCCCACCCCTTTTTGCTTTTTTCCTTTTCAAGATCAACCGACTTTTGATTGGACATGATAATGTAGGGCTCCGATCTGGTTGGTTCCTGGCTAGTGTCCAGATCACAGTTCCTGTCCATGGACGGCAGTACATGTTCCCATGCAACAGATGGCTTGACAAAGACGAGGCTGATGGGAAAGTGGAGGTGGAACTCTACCCCAGTGAGATTGTGTCCATTGAGAAATGTGAGGGGAAAAAGCCTTTGTTGTTGTTATTAAGTATTATCTGTATTACTGTAAGATGTAGGATGCACAGGGATGTAGCATGGCCCCACTGTGCTTGGATCTGTACAAACACAAAAAGATGGTCTGTCCCCTATGGTGCTTGCAATCTATGTATAAGACAAGAGATAACAGATGGATACCGACATAAAGACAAGGAAACAATGATATGGTATTGGTCAGAGTGATATGCAGTGGTAGCAGCACACTGTGCAATGATAAAGCCCTGTTGCTGTGGTCATTTATCACCACAGTAGAAAAAATGAAAAAACACAAGAATAAACACATTAGGGTTGATTCTTGCACTCACAGGGTTATTCCTGAGGTGGGCTGTGTCTACATTGGCATCCCTTTCCGGAAAAGGGATGCTAATGAGATCAGTCGGAATTGCAAATCCGCGGGGGATTTAAATATCTCCCGCGGCATTTGCATTTACGTGGCTGCCGCTTTTTTCCAGCTTGGGGATAAGCCGGAGAAAAGCGCCAGTCTAGACGTGATTCTCCGGAAAATAAACCCTTTTCCGGAGGATCTTTTATTCCTACTTGAATTTGCAATTCCGAAGTGTCTAATCTGCATCCCTTTTCCGGAAAAGGGGTGCCGTGTAGACACAGCCGTGATGTAATAGGCCCCCTCCATCTCAACTTCTTGGATTTTAGGAAGAACCTAGGCTATGACCGCACTTGGTGGAACCAGATGCTGTGTTTCTCTTGCTGCAACTTCAAGGTATCTCTTTGCTGACCTGCAGCTACCAGGCCATTGCAGAGTGGCATCCTCACACATCTCTTTCAGTTCATCACAGTCTTGGCTTGCAACAGCATCTGAATTTCCAGCTCCAGTCTCTCTAGAGGAGAGAAGATTTCTGATAGATGCAGATGAAGATCCATTCTGGTTTTGACTGACATGAGTGCATTAGTTTTCAATTAAACTAATTGCTCCACTTAGCACCCTTCCCACTACTGCATGAACATCGCCGTAGTTAATGTTGCAATAAGATTCTATTTTAAAAGCCCCCATTTTTGCAGACCTCTAACTTTGAGTTGGGACATTCACTTGACCTGAAAGTCAGTGGTCTGATTGAGAATATTTTTACCATCCACTATTGGACTCAGGGCTTCCACCTGGGGACAGTGGGACTTGAGCTTAGACTTGGGCTCCTCTTTCTCGCCCTGTAGTAATTTTTGTTGTCAGAAGGGGGTCGCAGAGCACTAGATCCACTGCACTAGATGATTCATACCAATGTCTGTACTGAGTTTGGCTACTTCTAAAATTAGAACATTAGACAACTAATAACGCTTCATTAATGTTTGTAGAGCTGTAGATTTTTAAAGCTACTTTATTAGACACATTTTTCAGGTGCTTTTACCAAAGCAGCCTGTGTCAGAGACATTTCTAGGAGGTACCTTAGCCTGTTGAGAGGCATTATCTGTGGATCCATTAAATTTTTTCTACATGGTAAAAATATCCTATGTGCATTATAGACAATAATTAATTTTCATTTCAGAACAATTTGATGCGCATCACCATTAGCAACCCCCCTCCAGATTTAAACGCAGGAAATGTGTGTATTAATGCCTCCGTTACATTTATTTTTTCTTTTGGAACAGTGGTAAATTACGAGGTGTCTATAGTTACGGGGGACGTGCGGGGAGCAGGCACCAATGCCAATGTCTTCATGCAGCTTTATGGCGAAACTGGCAAAAGCGAGGTAATCACCTTGAAAAGCAGGTCAAACAACTTCGAGAGGGGAGCAACAGATATTTTCAAGGTATGATGAAAGCAACCTTTACTCTTTACTTGAAGGGAAAGGAAGAAGAACCAAAATAACAAAACAGCAAAAGAACGCTTGTTTTTCCTGCACTATTGGCTTTTGGGCTTCACAAAAGATAAGCTAGTTTCACTTTCAGGTTCCCATGCCCTAGTATTTGGGATGCAGGCACTGGAAGGCTACATCTAGACTGCATTTCGGTATCCAAAAAAGCAATGCCGTGTCCAAGGAACGTGTCCGGTTTTTTGAATTTTTTTTCGAAAGAACAGAAGTGCTCTTTCGCCATCCCTGTAAACCTTGTTCTATGAGGAATAAGGGATGGCTCAAAAGAGCACTTTCTTTCACAATTTGGCACCGTGTAGATGTGCCAGATTTTGCAAGAGCCTTTTTCAAAGGTAAATCGAAAAAAGATACGCAATTTACGTACATTGCGTATCTTTTTCTGATTTAACAATGAAGTCTAGACGTAGCCTAAGAGAAAAAAAAAGTTCATTTAGGCTTTGCAAAACATTTGTAACCCTATATTTTGGCTTAGACCTAGTGGCATTGTCCCTTATCTCAGGGTTGGGGAGCCGTAGTCCCGGAGGCCAGATGCAGCTCCCAACTTGCCTGGATCCAGCCCTTGAGGCTCAGACTCTCCCCAGCACTGGGGAACCCACACTGGTGCTCCAGTCTGCCCACCCACTGCTCCACTGGAGGCTGGAGCACACAGAATCCACTAGGCTGGGCCCCCCCAGGCTCTGGTGTGCAAAGTAAGGTGGGGCATGTCTTTCTCCTTTTCAGTCGGGGGCCACGAGATGGGTTTTTCTTGTTTGTTTGTTTGTTTGTTTGTTTTTGTTTTTGCTTCTTACTTGTGTTCAGCCCCCTACTGATTTTTCTGTGGATCAGTGACCTCCAACCCCAAAAACGTTCCCCACCCCGTCTTATGTTTTAAATAAGTTTTTGTATTTAATCGAAGAAAACATGTATGTCATAGTGTCATGCTTACTTTAGAATGTGCCATTGATCAGACATGGCACTTGCAATAGAGATACCGGTTATTGGTTCTCTCCTGCCAAGCCTTGCTACTGAAAGTATTACACTTGTTCCATAGGAAAGAGTTCTCCATGTGTGCTCATAGTGTTAGCAGAGGCGTAGAACTACATCATCCCCCAAAGCATGCTGTTTTTAAGGGGTGCAACATATGCTCTTCTGTACTTTATTTGTTAAAGGTGCATTGCCCTCATGTTATTGTATTTGAGTACCACATGGTGCCTCTATGGTGTATCCTCCACTACCTGGGTTTGGAAGGGCAGTGCTAATATCCCTATTTGCAGATGGAGAACTGAAGCATAGAAAGATTAAGTGGCATAGGGAATTGAACCTGAGCCATTTAAATACTAGGTAAGTGCCTTAACCACCCACCTATGCTTCCCATTCTGCATAGCTCCCACCCAGCCTGCTTTTTTTAATAAAAGCACTGTCCCTGGAAAGGTGTCATGGGGCCACTTGGGCCTGGCAACCAAAGAGTTAGTGCAAGTACTGCCAGTCTGTGCAGATTGACCACTTCGTAGCACCTGGGAGCATAAAAGAGCTGAGCGGTAGGGCAGCTGCCAGAGGAGCAAGCCAGGCAGGGATAAGTTCCTGCAGGCAAGTTGGTGAGAAGCATCCCCTGGGTGACAACAACCCAAAGAAGAGCCAACTAAAGCCACAGGGTGCAGAAGCCTACAGAACCAAGGGAGGAAAGAAGGAGCTCAGGGCTCAACAGGAGAATGACTGAGGACTGATTCTGCATGCCTGGGTTCAGGGCCTTGACCTGGAACCCAGTGGCATGGGTGGACCAGTTTCCCTAGCAACCAAATGGAGTTCCAGGCCTCTTGAGGACAAGGACAGATAACCTTTGCCAAACATGGAGAGAAGGGGGCCCGTACACCCCAGCCGGACAGAAATTAATGCCCTTGCCTCTAGAATAGGTTGATAGAGATTCAGACATCTGGCCAAAGGGGGTGCTGATGCACTGGGGCATAGTCCACAGGAGGTGAGGGCAACTCAGTTGCAGTCCCTGTGCTGTTCTGAGCACAAGGCTGCAACTCAGGGCAGGGCTGAAACAGGTCATGCAACGGAGGGCTAAACATTTTTAAAGGAAGGAAACGACAACATTAAGAAGTCCTGGGTCCAGCCTCAATGAGACGGGTAATTAATGACTTCTTTATACCTCATAAGAGGGAGGCAGCATGGTCCACTGGTTAGCGCAAGGAGCTCAGGGTATGTCTACACTATCCCGCTAGTTCAAACTAGCGGGGTAATGTATGCATACCGAACGTGCTAATGAAGCCCGGGAAATTCAAATCCCGGGCTTCATTAGCATAAAGCCGGCTCCGCCATTTTTAAAAGCCGGCTTGTTCGACCCCCGTGCCGCGCGGCTCCACGCGGCACGGGCTAGATAGTTCGAACTACGTAGTTGTTCCGAACTATCTGTACGCCTCGTGGAATGAGGTGTACAGATAGTTCGGAACAACTACGTAGTTCGAACTATCTAGCCCGTGCCGCGTGGAGCCGCGCGGCACGGGGGTCGAACAAGCCGGCTTTTAAAAATGGCGGAGCCGGCTTTATGCTAATGAAGCCCGGGAAATTCAAATCCCGGGCTTCATTAGCACGTTCGGTATGCATACATTACCCTGCTAGTTTGAACTAGCGGGATAGTGTAGACATACCCTCAGTCAGGAAGAGGCTATTTTTTTAAGTCTATTGAAGGAAGCCGGGCAGAAGGGTAGGGTAGGTGGGGAAGGGTATAAGCCCATGGTCACCAACCAGTAGATAAGGATCTGCTGTTAGATCTTGGAGCCTCTGACAGGTGATCCTGACTGGTCTGTCTGGGAGGCTATCAAGTACCAGCCCTTCAGATGGCCTTCCCCACACTGTCCTGCTGCTCCTGCCCAGAGTCTCACAGCTGCCTGAGAGCCTCCTGCTTGTTATGCAGAGTAGGGGAGACAGAGGCAGGGGGACACTGATGTCACTCTGTCCCCCTCTACTGTACCCCGTCTTCACAGAGTGAGGAAGGTGGGAATTGGCAAGGGGTGGAGCAGGGACTGGGCCTCAGAGAAGGGGTGGGGCAGGGGTATTTGGGTTTGAGGAAGATCTTGGACTGACTTAAATTCAAAAAGTGATCTTGTGCTTAAAAAGCTTGGAGACCCCTTGTATAAACATAAGTCCTATCATGAAGCAGAATAAGGGATACAACATTTGCTTTGTTCTAGTAAAGTTCTCTGTTAAGGGTTGAGAAATAAACGTGTTCGGTGATTCTTTACCATTGTCACATTATGCCTAATATTCTTCCTCAGCAGATCTCAGAGCACTTTATAGATGTTGGTATCATGATGCCCATTGTACAGATGGGGAGATGTAGGCACAGAGAAGCTAAAGTGATTTCCTTAGGTCACCCAGAAGCAGAGCCAGAAATACAACTTGAAAAAAAAAATCCATTACTCTAGTCACTAGGTCACTCGGCCTCCCTGAGGTAGTAATGTGCATTTCATTTTAGGGTCTGCCTCTGCCTTGCTTTGTGTGTTTGCCTAGCTCGGTTAACCCCCTTCAGCCTGCATTCTTCATCTTCAAAACACACAGTTTGAAAGTTTAGAGAGCCTTGAATGACCAGCACTTTATAAATGCCTGTCATTTGTTATAGGGAGAAAGGAGGGGTGGCAATATATTTTAGAAGACTAATTTCTAGTGGTCAGAGACACAAGCTTTTGAGCTACACAGGTCCATGAATTTCAAGGGTTAACTACTTAAGCTAAGCATTCTGTTCCACCTTGTATTTATCTGTGGCATTCTGAGTTTGTTCCCCAGACCCAAAGAAAAGCTCTGTGTAAACTCAAAAGCTTGTATCTTGCCACCCAAAGTTCATTCAATAAAATATATTACCTCAGCCCGCTTGACTCTCTAATATCCTGGGACCAGCATAGCTACAACACTGCATGTATCATTTATTATAACATTTCAAATACCAGCCATGCATTCATGTATTTCTAAAGTAAATGAGCTTCCCTGACATATTAAATCTCACTGATTGTTATAAATCTTCTATGTAGATCACTCTATTTACATAGTCATGATTGTTTCCTATTAAATGCTTACACAATTTGGAAGCCTTAAGTTTAATGTGTAACCCATTTTCTGCAGTTTTCCATGTACATGAGGTACAAGTTTGAAGCTTTAGGAGATTAAGGATCTGTATCTTTCCCATCATTAATGTTTACAGAAAGATATGGGAAGGAATAAGACTGTGAGCTGCATGTTAATGAGACGTGCCATCAAGCACAGAGAGTGCTAGATTCATATGAACAGAAAGGCTGCAAAAGAGACCCTTTTCTCTATGCTGGGTTAGGTGGATTGATTTCAGTTTCCTGATAAACATCTCTTTTGCAATTAATGATTGTTTTGATCTGATAAAAATACTTCTAGGCTGAAGACATCTATGTAAAAAAGGCCAAATTAAAGCCGGAAAAGGAAAATAAGCACTGGGTTCATAGCATTTAAACTACATATCAGCACAAAACCCCCACCAAAACTACAAGTGTCAATTAGTTATGGGGCCACCAAGCTGAGAAACTCTGTCTAATGTAATGGTTCTCAAACTTTTTGGGCTCATGGCACATGTATCTTGATGACCTTTCATAACCCAGAGATCCCCTGGACACCCCAGAACGGACGCCCACCCACCAACCTCTCTGCAGGGCTCCATCAAGAGTGGTAGAGCTTGGAGCTAAGATTACAGCTACAAACAACCAGATGTGAACTTCTTGGGACACTGGGGAGAGGACTGGCAAACCAGACACCCCGCAAAGTATTGTTCCCTTATATGGCCTAAAGATGAGGTTGGGGAGGGGGATTGGGCAGCCTGGAGGTGAAACGTGGAGATTGGAGGCCTGGTAGTGTAGTAAGGAAGGAAATGGAAGTGCATTGGGGTGCTGAGACAGGCTATGGAGTCAGAGCTGTCTGGAGGAGGGGCAGAGTGCCAAAACACTCCCCAAAACAACACAGCCTTGTGGGGGTAGAAGGGTGATGAGGATTCAGGATCATGGGGGTAAAATGGGTTGGTTTGGGGCTGAAGGTTCCAGGGGTACAACGAGGGAAGATCTAAGGGCCAGGATGGGTAGTATGACAAAGGGTGTGTTGCCCAGCTGTGGAGGTGGTACCGGGGAACTAGTACTTAACTGAAGAATATGTTATCTGTGACCCAAAGCAGCAAGGTGTTCTTCTTACCTTGGTGGAAGACAGGACAGGTCAGGAGGAGCAGCAAGAATCTCCAAAATACCTGTCCCCTGACATATCCCAGAGTGACCTGTTGCACCCCATGCAAACAAACACCAACCACTCCCTCCCAGCTCTTGTCCCATGAGGCTCACAGGGTTTGGCATCCCACACTGGATGTTATGCCCTCTGGAGTTGCAGATCCATTCAGAGTTGGCTCACTCTTCCTGACAGGGGGACAGCCAGGCCAAATTTGTGTGAGTGAAATTGCTACCTATCACATGAGATTGCAATACCAATTAGCTCCAGTTTGTCCTGGCCAGCCCCTTGGTGACTTGACTTTGGGTCACAACCCACAGGCTGAGAAACCCTGTTCTGGCGGGGGCAAATCTAAAACAACTTGGTGCCCATTCTCCTATCAGCTTTACCGACTAGTGAGATCTACATCTACTCCCGTGTGTATAGCCTCCATGACTGCAAAGTCTGAGCATGGTACAGTCTTAATGGAGTTTATCATCGTGAGGTAGGGAAGTGTTATGGGGAACTGAGGCACAGGATAGATTAAAATACTTGCCCAAGGTCTCCCAAGAATTTTTTGGCAGAGTTAGGAATTGAAACCTAGTCTCTTGCATGCTAGTTCAGCATCTTCTCAACTAGAATAGCCTTCCACCTTGACTGGTTCACCATATTGCATTGCTAATATGCATTTAAGGAGCATCATCTGTATATACAGTATTTTACTAATCACCTAACTCCCCACATAAAAACAGCGCAAAGTCCACACTCCAAGAAGGTTGCAGACTCATAGAGATGAATTCAATGGTTAGCACGATAATTTCACAAAGGCCCAGCAACAGTGTTGGTGAGATCAGGAGGGGCAGGATCGGTCCCCAGTAGATATCATAGATGTTCTGTATGCCCTTGTGCGAGTCACTCAGTCTGTTTAAGATGCAGTTTGGTAAAAGCGAACAATACAATAATTTAGAACAGGAAATGAAAAAGAACACTCAATGCAGTTGAAAGTGGGATCTGGGGAAAGGAATGACTTGAGCCTCACATCTTACAGTCAAGGTAATAATGAGGTAATGGCTTTGGGTGTAATGATCTATGTTGAGATTTAAGTACCATCATCGGTTATGTGTGAATTATTCTATCTTCTTTCGGGCCTTGATCTTTTCTTTGGTGGCAGGTAGAGGCTACAGATGTTGGTAAGATCTACAAGCTTCGAATTGGACATGATGGGAAAGGCATTGGGGATGGCTGGTTCCTGGAAAGTGTCACACTTAAATGGATGGTGACGAAGGTGAAGGAGACAGATAAAAAGAAAAAGAAGAAGAAAAAGAAATCCAGTGAGGAAGAGGAGGAGGACTCCAAGCCAGAAGAAGTGATGGAAGTCTGTACATTCATGGCTCACCGTTGGCTGGCTACCAGTGAAGAAGATAAGGAGCTAATTGTGGAGCTGATACCTGAGGATGGATCTGGACTTGAGGGTAAATTTTACACAGTAAATATGTGTCAATCAATGCAAAAATTACCTTAAGTGAGCAGTACATAGTTAAGCACTCCAAAGTCTGGAAATACCAAAAAGTCATATAAATCTCCTCATTGCTACCCCTTTGTGTACGCCGAATACATTAAAGACCAAGTTTCTGCCAGGCTCCTATGCCATCCTGACCCTCCAGTGAAATGGAAAAACTGCAAATTTAACAATGAGCAAAAACATTTTTCATGCCGCATGTACAGGGGAACTCTGCAACAAAATAAAAAATTCTGCACACACTATTTTAATATTCTGTAAAATTAGGCATATTTTATTTGTCAAAGTAACATAATATAATCTCACCTGTTTCAATTATTTTGATTTTAATATACCTCTCAGCAGGTATGTCTGTGACAATACGGGCATGTTTGACAATTAGATTTCTTACCAGTCATATTGATACAGAGCTTCGAATAATTTATTTAAACTGCAATACAGAAACATATTTCCTGCGCCCCTCAGAAGCGAGCAAACGCTGGGGAGAGTCCAGGGTAATGGAAGAAGTGAGGCAGAGGGAAGGAGCCAGGACTGAGCCCAGAAGGCTGATGGGTGTGGGTGGGAAAAGTATGAAACAGCGGGTTTTTTGTGAAGGATGGAGGGATTGTTCCAGAGTGGGGGAGCCTTCCCTGTGCACTGCCTGGCTGACCTTGAGTCTCTCCCTTTCTCTCCCTTTCAGTTAGTCACATTTGCCCCTGTCCCCATATATCCCAGCAACAGTCCTTCTCTGCCCCTGTGTGTCCCTGAACCCCACCTACTTCCTGTTCCCATGTGTCCCTGCAACCCCTCTCTCCCACCCTCATGCAGCCCTGGCTCGATGCTGTCACCCTACTAGCTCTCATATGCCCCTCTCAGTATCCCCTCTAAACCCCAGTCTGCTACTCTCCTGTAGCTCAGTGTGCCCCACTCTGTCCCATGTTTCCTCACCTGGCCCTGCTGTGAGGAATGCAGCCACTTCCCCAACCTCTCCTTCCACTGGCTGGCTGCTCTCTCTTCTGGTGCCACAGCTCCTGGTGTGTGAAAGATACAATTGCAGCCCCTCTCCAGCACAATCTGTACTCTGCAAAGAGAAAAAAAATCTGAATTAATTTGGTGCATGCACAGTGGCATAGAATTCTCCCAGGAGTTAGTGTGTAATTAACCTGTGGTGTTTACTGCTACAACATGCCATCGAGACTAACGGTGTGTGTGTGGGGGGGAGCTGAGGGGGTTAAAAAACCCAGATTCAGAATTGATATGCACAGCAAGAATGTATGACATTACAAGAAAGAGGGTAAAAAATAAGGTCTAAACTCTCGTGCTTCACAGCAGAAGCAAACCTGGGGGGTTGGAAGAAACTTCCTTAACGGCTGGGTTATTCCACAGAAGTCCACTAGTGGTTTCTTGAAACTTCCTCTGGGGGGACCATCTAGTGTTAGCCACTGTTGGAGACTGAATATTACACTAGATGGGTGTAAGCAAGTGAGGAAATACCTTGGCTAGGGAAGGTTAAAATAAAGCTTGACTAAGAGTTCCTTTGAAGGCCCTTTCCTTAGAGATAGCTTTATTACTACAAAACGATGGGGAAACAAGAGCAAACTATTCAGAACATTTGGTCCCAAGCCATGAGGACACAAGACACACCCTTCTTCCTTGCTAGCCTGGCCTGCTGCCAGATCCTGTGAAGGGACTTCCTTCAGGGTCTTACCTCTTCCAGAATGATCCAGAAACACTCCTTTATATAGTTTCTGGCAGGCAATGACATGACAGACAGTTGATCCCTCTCCATCATGTGCCCTATCTGGACCACAACTTGGAGCAAACCTCATCATAATGGGGCTGGCCATGCTTGTGCTTTTAGGCCATCACGTTGTCACAATGGACCACTGGTCTGATCCAGCATAACAGCTCCTGCGTTCTTATGTCAGCTCTTCCATGCAACTTCACTTTCAGAGAACACCTATGAGGTTCATGTCATCACTGGGAATGTATGGGGAGCTGGGACTGATGCGAATGTCTTCTTGAACATCTATGGCGAAGGAGGAGGAGACACTGGTGAGCGCCAGCTGAAAAGGTCCAACCACCTGAACAAGTTTGAGAAGGGCCAGGTAAGGCATTAATTAATCACTCCAACAAGTGAAAGGTAAGTATGATCCTCCATCCTTGATCCCAAGCTGCTGGTCCTTCTTTGCTATGTCCCAGTAAACCTCAGACTCTTTTTTGAATTAAAAGTTTGAACGTCTGGTTGAATTAAAAAACTGATCCTAAAAGTTACACTCATCTGGTCAGAATGCAAAAACAGTATCAGGTGACCGATGTGCCCAGTAATGATTAAAAGAGTGTAGGTTGATGTGGAATTGCTTGTAAAAAATCAACCGAGCAACTGCCATTAGCAAGTGTTATTCAGAGAATAATGTTGAACAATGAAAACAACTGAAAAATGCTGGTGAGCTGCTAGCCAGCAACTTGCAACAAGCAAAGAGGCTAAATTAACCACATAATCTGTTTACTATGGATTATAAAATCAGATCTAATAAGACTATAATCTGAGCATCATTCTTAAGTGGGAGGAATTCCAAGAAACAGACATCACACCTTATGCTTTTGGTAGCAAAGGAAGCCCAAAGTCTATCAACAAGCTAATTGCATTAAGATTTCTAAATAGCATGACAATAAGGGATGTATTTTCAAATTGTTGTTGTTAATGGATACATTTTATGGACTCTGCAAATGACAAAGGGAAAACTTCTTCAGTAGCTTCCACCAAAAGAAATACTTAAGTCCCAAGGAGATTTTCCATGGACTTAAAAGGCCTTTGCATCTAGTTTCAAATGTTTCATTGCAAAGTGGGTTCCAAGAAGAGATGAGGACTTTGGAAAGATTCAGTTGTGTCTACAGTTGCACTTGTTGGTCAAAACTTTTGTCGTTCACAGGTGCTGAAGCCCACCCCTCTGTGAACAACAAGGTTTTGTCATGGCAAGTGCACATGCGCATGCTGCTTTGTTGGCAAAAGCATTCTCCTGCTGACAAAAAAAACAAACAAACAAACAAACCCTGCTTGTTCCAAAAATGCCAGCAAAAAGGATTTACAAGCATCATCGCATCTGAAGAAGTGGGTTTTGCCCATGAAAGCTCCTGATACTATATGTATATTTGTTAGTCTCTGAGGGTATGTCTACACTCCCCCGCTAGTTCGAACTAGCGGGGTAATGTAGGCATACCGCAATTGCAAATGAAGCCCGGGATTTGAATTTCCCGGGCTTCATTTGCATAAGCGGGCGCTGCCATTTTTAAATCCCCGCTCGTTCGAACCCCGTGCAGCGCGGCTACACGGGGCACGAACTAGGTAGTTCAAACTAGACTTCCTAGTAGGAAGTAGGAGTAGTAGGAGGGTAGTCGAAGTAGGAGGGTAGTGTAGACATACCCTAAGGTGCCACAGGACTATTCGTTATTTACCAACTTCTAGCGACAGGGCTGTGTTGACATAGCCTTGTCATTAAAAGCTGCCTGGTGTAGAGCTACCCTGAGAGTTAGGAGGGACAGATTGAAGCTGGTGATCATATGATTTTAGTATCTGAGAAAGCTAGAGTTTGCACTTTTTTTAAAAAATGGAAAAAGTATCCTGGTCAGGGCACTGACTCCCTGTAGTCTCAGATGAGAAACAAAAGTCTGCCTCTGCTCCTGCTCTTGCAGGAAGATATATTCACCATCAAAGCCATTGATCTGGGAGTACTGAAGAAACTGCGGATTCGTCATGACAACTCCAGCAGCAACCCAGCCTGGTTCCTGGACAGAGTGGAGATTGTTGATCTCAAGGACGACACCAGGTGAGCCGATTGCTGCTCTCCATTCATGCGATTGGATGCATGGGATTCAGACTTCTGGTCAGATAAATTTAAAGCCTTAGAAATACAAAGAACATCATGACTGTGTTACACGTGGTCACGAATCCAGATTGGGTGATCCTCTTAGAATGCTAAAATAATGATGCTGTTGGGAGCTCCTGTGGAAAGTTACAGATGCAAGCAACCCTAGGAGCCCAGCTCTAATGGTGTCAAACTGACAGGGAGCTCCAGAGAGCTACGAAAAGGGGCTTAGAGACAGTGATGAGGCAGCAGTGTTCCATATTGATAGCTTTGGGCTGTGGGAAATCCCCTGAGATCGTCTGAGATCAAAGTGGAACTCAGGGACCAATGACCTTTGGAAGCAGAATCTACCATTTCTTCCAGGAGGGACATGCTCCACTTGAAGGAAATTCCTGATGCTACTCCCTTGCTTACTGACCAGTGCTTTGCTGGAACCGGAGTGAGGAACTCAAGACTCACTCCGTTGTTTGTAAATAAGAAGTATATTTAGCTGTGAAATAGTGATAGAAATGTAGCCGTGTTAGTCTGGTGTAGCTGAAACAAAATACAGGACTATGTAGCACTTTAAAGACTAACAAGATGGTTTATTAGATGATGAGCTTTCGTGGGCCAGACCCACTTCCTCAGATCAAATAGTGGAAGAAAATAGTCACAACCATATATACCAAAGGATACAATTAAAAAAATGAACACATATGAAAAGGACAAATCAAAAAAGGACAAAAAGAACACATATTCCTGCGCATCCAGAAATATAATTTATGCCATCATGTGCTGAAAACTATTTCTTGCCATTTCAACCAGAAAGGACACTGTCTCAACGACTTCACCACCTGCGTTCTTCTACAAAGACCTTTTACATCTGCACTTGAAAGGGAATCCTCTGAACTGTCATTCATGATTAGAAAATGCACATTGGTGTGTTACATTAGTTACTAAATGGAGCTAAGTCTTAAAAAAGAAAAACACCATAGCAAAGAGACCGAGCAAGCAGATATCCAGAGCTTGTTGGATGCTACTCCACTTTTCACTTACCACTATATTAAATTTGACACTTTACACCTAAGTTTGAATAAAGATGCTAATTCTTACCCATTACAAAGATCGCTTCCCCAATTATCACCTCTAATATCATTAACTCACAGACATTTGCCTCCCCCCCCCCGCATCTCCCTTCTGTTCTGAAATTTGATTTGTCCTTTCCATATGTGTTCATTTTTTTAATTGTATCCTTTGGTATATATGGTTGTGACTATTTTCTTCCACTATTTGATCTGAGGAAGTGGGTCTGGCCCATGAAAGCTCATCATCTAATAAACCATCTTGTTAGTCTTTCAAGTGCTACGTAGTCCTGTATTTTATTTAGCTGTGAGACTGTGAAGTGGGTTGTGCCAATGGAAGCTCGTGATACCATCTACATTTTTTGTTAGTCTCTAAGGTGCTGCAGGGCTATTTGTTGCTTTTAAAGTTTATTCAATTACAGACTAACATGGCTACCCCTCTGAAACTTATTATCTCTTGCGTTATTTATCTGCTTCTGGGCTGTACAATTAAATGAGCCAGGTGGGATTAACATCTTAACGCTAGTACCTATCAGCAGACATCAGTCGTCAGGCCCAGATTAAGTTCACACAAAGGGAACACAAGTTGAGGAAGGAGACGCATTTATGCTTTTCAGCTTTGAGTACTGTTACTCTTTGTTAACTTGCCTCTTATCTTTGCTAATTACTGTTGCTCATGGCTGCGAAGTGCTCTGAAGATGAAAAGTCCTGTGTGCCCTTGTTATTCTTGCAGGTATTACTTCCCATGCCAGCGGTGGCTGGCAGTTGAGGAAGATGACGGTCAAATTGCCAGGGAGCTGGTCCCGGTGGATGAAGCATTTATAAAGAAAGATTCGGACAATGATAACCAATCTCTTGCATCTCTGGGCCTGGAACAAAAAGGTTCTCATCTGTCTTGTGTTTCTTTCAACATGTAAAAGGCAAAGGCAGCCAAGTTATTAATAGCTCTAAGAGCATTATCAACTAGGCTACGTCTACACTGGCATGAATTTCCGAAAATGCTTTTAATGGAAAAGTTTTCCGTTAAAAGCATTTTCGGAAAAGCGCGTCTAGATTGGCAGGATGCTTTTCCGCAAAAGCACTTTTTGCGGAAAAGCGTCCGTGGCCAATCTAGACGCGGTTTTCCACAAAAAAGCCCCAATCGCCTTTTTCACGATCGGGGCTTTTTTGCGGAAAACAGTACTATGCTGTCTACACTGGCCCTTTTGTGCAAAAGTCTTTCGGAAAAAGACTTTTGCCCGAACGGGAGCAGCATAGTTTTTCCGGAAAAGCACTGATGATTTTACATGAAATCGTCAGTGCTTTTCCGGAAATTCAATCGGCCAATGTAGACAGCTGGCAAGTTTTTCCGCAAAAGCAGATGATTTTGCGGAAAAACTTGCCAGTCTAGACACAGCCCTAGAGTATTTGGTAGGCCATGAAAAATTCCCCTCCTGGATCATGAGATTAAGTGTGAATAAAGTATGAAATACACTGGGCATTGAATACACACACACTCCTCCCATTTCCATGACCTATGCTCACTTTGAACCCGATGTGCTGAGAGTAAAAAGATGACGCTCTTTCCTTGGATGGCAAACATCTGTAGGGTTCCTTGTCAGTTTCAGTCTCTCCCTTTCTCTTGCAAAGGTGTGAGTGCAATACCTCTGAACTGGAATGCGCAGCCAGCATTAATACCATAGCCAGTTAGTAGTGTTAGCTAGCAATGGGTGCAAGTTTGGATATGAAACTAACCAGGACTAAAATCAGAGC